GCCCTGTCGAGCGTGTTCAAGGCCGCGGCGGGCTTCAGCCCAGCGGCAGCGGCACGTTGAGCAGCACGCCGAACTCGCGCGCGAGGTCGCAGCTCACGCGGCGCATGCACCTTGCCCTGCTTGTCGAAGAAGCGGCCGGTCTCGTTCACCGGGAACACGCCCTCGTGCCAGATGCCCGGGTGGATGTAGATGCCGACGCTGCCGTCCGACCAGAAGGCCTTGAAGGTCTCGGGCTGCAGGTCGTCGCCCGGCAGCGCCACCGGCACCACGAACGGCTTGCCGTCGAGCGGCCAGAAGAGCTGGCCGCCGTCGGGGTGATAGTTGCAATGCCACAGCAGCACGCGGCCCTTGCTGAGCTTCACGCCGGGCTGGGCCTTCTCGGGCAGGTCGCGGAAGCCGATGACGTAGTGGCCGCCGACCGCCTCGTTGCGGCCGATCAGCTCGTTGCCACGCCACTCGCAGGCGAAGATGCCCTCGGTCGTGCCGCCCTCGATGCCGGTGCCGGCATCGAGCTTGCGCGAGCCGTTGAGCGGCCAGGGCACGATCTCGATCTTCTGCTTCTTCGGGTCGCGCACGACCTCGCCGTAGCCCTTGATCGTGTCGCGGTTGGCGCGGATCAGCGGGACGTCGAGCAGCCGTAGTCCGTGCGGGATATCGGGATTGAGGTAGTCGAAGACAACGCCGTCACTCATGTCGCAATCCTACGCTGCCTTGCCCAGATCCTCGCCGGCCAGCGCGCGTTCGATCAGCTTCACGACATTGTCGCGACCGTAGAGCTTGATGAAGGCGCCCATGCGTGGGCCCTGCTCGCTGCCGAGCAGGACTTCGTAAAGCGTCTTGAACCACTGGCGCAGCTCTTCCTTGGCGAAGTGACGCTTGCCGGCTTCGTACACCTCTTCCTGGATGGCCTCGGCGGTGGCGTCCTCGGACATGCCGCGCAGCGTGTCGAGCAGGTCCTGCAGGGCCGGCCGCTCACGGTCGGTGGGCAGGCGGAACTTTTTCGAGGACTTCACGAAGTCCTGGTAGTAGGCGACCGC